GGCATTCCAAGGATGGGCATGGGGGCACAGCACCCAGCCTCTGCTCCCTACCCAAGCCCTCACCCCGTGGGGGCTGCCTCCCCCAGAGGGACCCCTCTTCACCCCGTGTAAGATGAACAACAGGCCCGACATGGCCTCTGCCCGCAATGCATCTGGCGCCCTGACAAGAGTCTGTTGCCCTACATCCATGGCAGAAAATGTAGATTCCACCCCAAGCTGTAACATTTGTAGATGTGGTGTTATCTTAGTCCGTTTGGGCTGCTATAACAAAAATACCATAGACGGGGTGCTTATAAACAACAGACATTTATCTCTCACAGTTGTGGAGGCAGGAAGTCCAAGATCAAGTCCCCAGCAGATCTGGTATCCAGATCTGGTATCCTTTTGGCTGTGTCCTCACATGGTGGAGGGAGTGAGGGAGCTCTCGGGGGGCTCCTGTTCATGAGGCTCACATCCTTAGCTCATCTAATACAAATTATATCCCAAATGTCCCTTCTCCTTGAAGGTTAGGCTTCAATATATGAAATTGGTGGGGACAAATTCAGTCTATAAAAAGTGTGGTTGACCCGTTTTCATCCATCAGTTGGCTGGTTTGTTTCTTTAGGCGTTTTGGAGATTGCTGTTGTCCATCCAGCGTTTGGTAAGATGGTGCAGGCCTTCCGGAAATGAAGTCCATGAACTCAGCCTAGGAAAAGTCACCAGATTAGAGCTCTTTCAAACAAGAGGGGAAACACAGATGTGCTCTAAATGGACTTTGAAATAGCCAAGAGTATAAGACAACAGAAGGTTTTCTGGGAGGATGTGGCAAATTTGGGTTTAATTAAGGTGGATGGGAATAGCGTTTGAGGTAAGAGTTCCCATTGTACTCTTTAGGAGATATTGCCTGGTCTACTTTGGCCACAAAGGGAGGTGCAGAGCCAAGGAAGCAGAGGGAAGACTTAACTCAGAGGCTGGGAAACCATCCTGGCTCCCTGAGGACCCTGGCAGGAGTCATTGCCAAGTCATCCTCAGCCCTACAAGAAGGGGCACTGTCCACTCAGCTTGGTCAGAACGGGTTCTAATGGGGTGGAGACCCCAGATGAATCACAGTCTTCTCCTCTAGGAAAGGATGGGTTCAGCTCCCAGAAAGAGGGCTAGGAAGGACAGAGGAGCATGCCAGTGTTCCTGGACCTGCCCAAGCCCCAGAGCCCTGCCTTGGGGCATACTGGGACAGCAGGATGAAACCAGGACCCATGTGAATTATCTGAGAGTTCACAGGGCTTGGGGTGCAGACAGTTCTTTGGGCTTCCAGCAAAGGAAGCAGAGACCAACTGACATCAGAACTTCCTGGGCCCCAGCTGCAGCTCTGCATCCCCTCTGTTTCAGGAAAGCCTCATTTCTTCCTGTAGCTTGAGTTTTAAATTTTTCTTGGTATATGGTGATTCCCTCCTTTCTTCCTCTGTACTCAATCTTCCCCATGCTTGAAGCCCAGCCCCATTTTTCCCACCTCCCATATGAGCCCATCCCTGAACTCCCCACCCACCCCCATCCCTGCCTTTGAGATGCAGTAGTGTTTGTAGTCATGAAGGGGATGTTCAGCTAGGAATCCATAGTCTTCTAGGTGTCATCAGTGCCTGGAGAGTGGTCCCATGTCCCTTCATTCTTCTCTAGCCCTGCCAGAGAGACTGAATGACATCAAGGAACACAACAGTAACAGTCTAGACAAGGAAGAAAACCAGCAGCGACATCTTACTATGCTATCTAGACCTGTGGGAACCTAGCTGTTATCTCCAACACGCGAAGCCTCAGTCTTGTGAGCTGTAAAGCAAGAGTGGAAATAGTGTAAATTAATTATTTCTATGTAAACATGAGTGTAGTATATATTTATAATATAAATTTATTTATTTGTAAGTATAACTTATCATTAATATCATCATCATCATCATTATATTGTTATTGCTTGATAATTTATTTCCAGAAAGTTCTGAAACTTCGCATGATGGCTTACTAAAACCTCCCTTGGGGTTTGTAGAGTGATTTTGGTGCTATGGATCTGGCCTTTACATTCTGGATGGTGCAAAGCACCACATACAGATACTCAAACTTTAAATTTTGTTACTTGAGATTTTGGTTTGATGTCCTCTTTAAGAGAAGACTTATGACATGTCCTTGGAACATTTTGTTTTCCTTAGTAGTAGATTGACTAATTTGCATTAACCAAAGAATTTAGATTATAGAGTTTAGAATTTGCATTAAACTAAGAATTGAGGTTTTTTAGAACTATGATTTTAAACTCTTGGATATTGCTGGGGATATAAAATGGTACAGTTGCTGGAAAACAATATGGGGGTTCCTCAAATATTACAAATAAAATCACAATATAATCTTGCAATTCAATTCCTCATAAGGGTGTATATCCAGAAAATTGAAAAAGGAACTCTAAGAGATATTTGTACTCATGTTCAGAGCAGCATTATTCACAATAGCCAAAAGGAGGAAGCAACCCAATTGTCTGTCAATAGATGGATGGATAAATAAAATGGGGTATATGCAAATAGAAGAGTATTATTCAGTCTTGAAAAGGCAGGAAATTATGATACATGTTACAATATGGATGAACCTTGAGGACATCATGCTAAGTGAAACAGCCAGTCACAAAAAGATAAGATTCTACTTATATGAGGTTCCTGGAGATGTTAAATTGACAGAGACAACCAGTGTCTGGGGGGAGAGGGTAATGGGGAATTAATGGTTAATGCATACATAATTTGAGATGAGCAAGATGGAAAGAATTCTGGAGAGGGATGGTGGTGATAATTGCAGAATGTTAATGTACTTAATGCCTCCAAACCATCCACTTAGAGTGGATAAAATGGTAAATTTAATGTTATGTGTGTTTTACCACAATTAACAAATAATAAATAATAAAATTAGAAAATCTGATTCAGAATATGAAGATGACACAAACAAATGGAAGACATATCATACTCATAGAATGGAAATTGATGTTGTTTAAGTGTCCACCCTACACAAAGCAATCTATAGATTCAGTGCAATCCCTATCAAAATACCAAAATATTTTTCATAAAACTAGAACAAATAATCCTAAATTTTTTACATAAACACAAAAGACCCCAAATAGTCAAAGCAATCTTGAGAAATAAGAACAAAACTTGAGGTATCACAATCCCAGGTTTCAAGATAGACTACAGGGCAGTAATCACCAAAACAGTAGGGTACTGGCACAAAAAGAGACACACAGATCAATGAAAGAGAATAGAAAGTCAAGAAATAAGCTCCTCGGGGTGCCTGGGTGGCTCAGTGGGTTAAGTGTCTGCCTTCAGCTTGGGTCATGATCCCAGGGTCCTGGGATCGAGCCCTGCTCAGCGGGAAGCCTGATTCCCGCCCCCCCCCCCCGCTCCCACTGCTTGTGTTCTGTGTCTCTCTGTCAAATAAATAAATAAAATCTTAAAAAAAAAAAAAGAAAGAAGCCCCTCCTTATATGGTCAAATATTCTACAATATAGGAGACAAGAATACACAACGGGAGAAAGATAGTCTCTTCAGTAATGGTGCTAGGAAAACTGGACAGCTGGCTATATGCAAAGAAAGGGAAACTGGGTCACTTTCTTATGCCACACACAAAAATAAACTCAAAATGAATTAAAGACCTAAATTTGAGACCTGAAACCAAAAAAATCCTAGAAGAAAACACAGGCAGTAATTTCTTTGGCATTGGTCATAGCACCGTTTTTCTAGATACATCTTCTGAGATAAGGGAAACAGAAGCAAAAATAAATGGTTAGGGCTTCATCAAAATAAAAAGCTTTTGCGCGACAAAGGAAGCCATCCACAAAACAAAGAGACAACCTACTGAATAGCAGAAGATATTGACAAATGATATATCCAGTAAGGAGTTAATCCCTAAAATATATATAAAGTTATGCAACTCAACACCAAAAAAAAAAAAAAAATTAAATAATGAGCAGAGACATGAATAGACACTTCTCCAAAGAAGGCAGACAGATGGTCAATGGGCACATGAACAAATGTCCACCATCTCTCAGCATCAGGGAAATACAAATGAAAACTACAGTGAGATATCACCCCACATGTGTCAGAATGGCTAAAGTCAAAAAAGATCAGCAATAACAAGCATTGGGAGGATGTGGAAAAAGGGAATTCTTTTGCACTGCTGGTGCAAAATTGATAAATTGATGCAACCACTGTGGAAAAGAGTATGGGGGTTCCTCAAAAAATTAAAAAATAGAACTACCATATAATTCAGTAATTCCACAGCTAGGTGTTTACCCAAAGAAAATGAAAACACTAATTTGAAAAGATATATGCACCTCATGTTTATTGTAGCATTATTTGTGATAGCCAAGATACAGAAGCAGTCCAAGTATCCAGTAGTAGAAAAATGGAGAAAGACGATGTTGCCTACATACACACAATGGAACATAGCTCAGCCATAAAAAAATACGATATCTTGCCATTTACAACATGGATGGACCTGGAGGGTATTATGCTAAGTGAAATAAGCCAGAGAGAGAAAGACAAGTACCATGTAGTTTCACTTATATATAGACTCTAAAAGACAGAACAGATGGACAAAAAACAAAAACAGACTCATAAATACAGAGAACAAACTGGTGGTTTCCAAAGGGTAAAGAGTAAGGGGGCGGTGATGGGCAAAATAGGGTAAGGGGATTGAGAGGTACAAATATCAAGTTATAAAATAAGTCATGGAGTTGAGAAGTAAAGCGTAGTAGAAGTAAAGCATAAGAGAAGTAAAGCATAATATTATAATCATGCTGTGTGGTGACAGATGGTAAAAAAATGATTCAAAAACATTTTATAAATATAAAAGAATACATGTTAATTGCAGAAGAGTTTAAATTACACATATACACGCACATACATACACGGGCATTTCATAAAGTTGTGTCATATCATATCTTGGTTTATTTCTCTAACATACAGAAGCACCATCTTCATCTTTCACTTCCCGGTTTCCAGGTTTGCAATGGCTTGGAGCAGCCGAGGAAGCAGCAGCGCTCTGATCTCAATGGACCTGTGGACAATAACAACATCCCAGAGGTAATTTTTTCCAAGGATAAGAGTTGTGGCTTAAGTTCCTAATATTGAAGTTACCACACCCCCATGGTCTGCTCACCCTCTCCACCATGTTCTTATCCCAGCCAGTGTCTTGGAAGTGGGGATTCAGTCAAGCAAAGTTGGGTGTCCCTGCAGGAAAAGGAAGGAAAGTTTCTTTCCTTCTGATTCAGGCTCATACCACTGTGGGTTCATATGTTTTCAATGGCGCGTGGGGTTGGGGGTAGGGAAGTTCATTTATGCTCCCTGGTTTGACAGAAACTTGTTCTACTCCATTATCTTACAGTTATGTTCTAAGTTAAGGTTACTCAATAATGGCACCATTGACATTTGGGCCAGAACATTCTTTGTTGTAAAGATTTGTCTTTTCCACTAAAGGATGTTTAGAAGCATCTCTGGCCTCTATCCACTAGATGCCAGTAGCACACAACCTCTTTGCCAAGCTGTAACAGCCAAAAGTGTCTACAGACATTACCCAATGTCCCCTTGGGGACAAAAAAATCATCCTGATTGAGAACCACTGTTTTAAACCCACAGCATGGTTTTGAAAAACAATCTTATATAGATTAACACTGCCTTGATGGAGGTTGTTAAAATGAGGCCTTAAACCAGTTATTTCCATTTTCTGGATGACATAGTTTGGATAGAATTTTCTAGCTTTGATGAAATAAGTCTGGCCACCCATAGAGTGGTGTCCAGTATCCTTTATCTTGCTTTTAAAGATGGGCCCTGGTAATTCTCATGCCCACCAATTGGAGAACTATTGGTTGTATGGTCTCTAGCCTCCCTTCTAGCAATGACATACTAATCTGGAGTCCCTAACTTTAAATGATGGCCCTTTGTACCCCAAGTTTTCCCATGGGAATGTTTCCATGTGTCCTGCCTAAACACCATGGTGCCTGAATGCCATTGGTTTGCTTTCTGGAGCTGACTTCTTAGGAACATCAGACACTCAGTGGGGTTTAGCTTTTCACATACAGTACTCTTCTTAGCCTAGATTTTTCAGGCCATCTACTTACACTGTCATGTGTGTGTTTTCTTTTCTTTTCTTTCTTTTTTTCTATTTCCCAATAGACAAAGAAGGTGGCATCATTTCCAAGTTTTGTGGCTGGTAAGTGACTTTGAATTTACTCTTAAAGAACAGTTGCATTTTTATCTCAAAGCAAATGGTATTTTTACCTTTGGTTTTCTCCTGCAAAGCTTGTGCAGAAAGCACACCTTCAAGGTAAAAACAGTGTTATAATAAGCAAAGGTGCTCAGGCATTTGGTTGGCGGAGTACTTTGTAAGCCCGTATTGTTGTGGAAGGGGGTGGTTCAGCTGATTAGGGAACAGTCAGCCATCCCATTGAATTACATCCCTTGACACTACTGATCAGGTTAATAGACTGAAATGTGTCTGTATAAGCAGCTTATTATGATCTAACACTTTTGATTAGGGTGGATATACTTGCATCCATATTCAGGCTATTACTTCTTTATTCTCCTTTTTTGAGGGGGTTAATATTGGATTTCAGCATTCAGTGTTGAGCCAACTTTGCACTGTCTGGCCTCAGGGAAACTTGGGCTGCTCCTTTCCAAGGTCCTCCAACAACACCATAAAGAGCCTCTTAAATAGGATGTTTCTTTAGCCAGGAGGCTGTTTCCTGCTGTTGCTAATGTTACAATAAAAAGTGTGGATTTTATGAATTCTTTCAGTAAGCTGGTAATTAATTTTTATGAATATTTATGGGAGTAAGGTAAATCACTCACCGGAGATAAGTAACTTTAAAACCTCTCCTACCCAGGGCGCCTGGGTGGCTCAGTGGTTAAAGCCTTTGCCTTCGGCTCAGGTCATGATCCCAGAGTCCTGGGATCTAGCCTCACATCGGGCTCTCTGCTCAGCAGGGAGCCTGCCTCCTCCTCCTCTCTCTCTCTGCCTACCTTTCTGCCTACTTGTGATCTGTCTGTCAAATAAATAAAAATCTTTAAAAAAAAAAAAAATAACCTCTCCTACCCTGGTTTTCTTTTTTAGTAAAGAGCTGACATCTGGGAAACTGAGACCCCCAAATCCCCTTTCAAGGGACTAGTTTGAACCAGGCTAACCCAATTCAAACTGGTTGAAAATGAATTGATTTGCTCAACCCAGTTTTGGCGGGTTCAACATTGTATTGGCTCAGTGTTGCTCAAACTAGATTAAAAACAGTTTCAGACTGTTGGAATCCATGTTATATTGTTCAAATAAACTTGATTCCATTTTGACCAACTCAAGTAGGCTCAAGTGGGTTTTGCCCAGGTATTTACATGTGGTGCTTATGGTTAAAACTGGATCAAATTGGTTTTCATCAGGTCACAGTAGATTGCGATAATTCCAATCTAAATGGCTAGTTGTAGTATTTTTCAGGAACTAATTATTGGCAGAAAGAGACAACACCTACTCCATGCCCGCATCGTAGGGTTGATTAGGTTTCTGATTCAGAGGACTGGACATCTCATAAATAGGGAAGACACACCACTTTCCTGGGTGGTGGGAATGCCAGGATGGCTTGTACCAGTCACACTGTTCCAGTGAGGTAGGCTCTTGTGGATCCAAGAAGCTCACTTTTCAAAGTATCATGGTGTCATTTGGGCAGGACTCTCTCAGACTGCCTAGGGGAATGGTTTGGGCATTAGACTCCCCTGTCTCTTGAGTCTGCCCCCTAACTAGAGGGGAAGGTAGTGGAGAAGGATCAGGAAGCACTATCAATGCCTAGGTGCTCTGAGAAGTACCACTCACTTGCAGCATTCCAGAAGTCTCACTTCCCTAAACCAGCTTAGAAATGTTATAAACCAAAATCAAAACAATGTGGGATGCCTCAAACCAGTTATGATGGGCTGAAACTGCCTGTCACCAGCTCAAACCAATGTGGATAGCCTTAATTTAGAATTTCCTGGGGCACCTCAGTGGCTCAGTTGGTTGAGTGTCCAACTCTTATTTTTTTGTTGTTGTTGTTTTTTTAATTTTTATTTATTTATTTGACAGACAGAGATCATAAGTAGGCAGAGAGGCAGGCAGAGAGAGAGAGGGGGAAGCAGGCTCCCTGATGAGCAGAGAGCCCGATGTGGGGCTCGATCTCAGGACCCTGAGATCATGACCTGGGCTGAAGGCAGAGGCTTAATCCACTGAGCCACCCAGGCGCCCCCAACTCTTGGTTTTGACTCCGATCATGGTTTCAGGGGCCTTGGATTGAGCCCCACGTCTGGCTTCACGCCTAATGGGGAGTCTTCTTGAGATGCTCTCTCTCCCCCTCTGCCCCTCCCCCTGGTTGCTGTTTCTCTTTCTAAAATCGGTGGTTAAATCTTTAAAAAAAGAAAAAAGAATCTCTGTTAGGCATGCCCATGGAGTATTTGTCAGAGATATTGGCCCCTGAGAACATGAGGGTCTTAAACTGGGATGGCTCCACACATCCTTCTTCAGGGGTGTTTCCTACCCTCAGGCTCCCTCTAGCTCCTAGACAACTGTGTGGACACTCCCAGAAGAGTCCAGCTGGAAAGCTGTATTTCCTGCCTTATTCTTTCTGAGGAAGCAGACTCATGTCTACTTGTACTTAGGAGGCCTTATGAATCTGAATGTTTAGTTGAACCTTAAAACACCTTGAAGACCAACTCAACAGTCTTCTCTTTGTCCCTCATTGACCAGACCTGTGCCACATGACCAGTGCCATGGACTTCAGGGTTGACTGGAGAATCAGATATTTGGCTTTCCGGGAAGGCAGGGGAGAAAGTCTGGAGATGAGGGAGCAGTTCCCCAATGTCTGCCATACCCCACCCATCCGGCAAGTGTTTCAAGGATGAGGGAGCCCCTAGGACTTGTTCAGTCCTCCAGCTGAAAGTCTGAAAAGTTGAGAAGACTTCGTATAACTGACAGGAAAGCAGGCTTTCCTCCTCCTCTGGGTGAGAAATCACACTGGAAGAAAACCTCCTTGGAGTTTTAAGAAGGGATGGCCTTCAGTCCCAGCACATGCCTTATTTCATACCTTGTAACTCTTAATAATAATGAAAGATAACAGTAACAGTCATAAGGACATAGGGACACCATCCTAACTTTTATTGGGCATTTAGTGTGCAAGTCCCAGGGATATGTGCTGTGCCCCTACTTCATGTCAGCCATCATAGGAGGGCTGATGCTTCTCCCCATTTGAGAGGTTAGGAAAAGTGGGGTTCAAGTAACTCATCTAAGGTCTGATGGCTGGGGGCCGGGGGCTGTGTCCTGGAGTGGTGAGGAACGGCGGGACCTGCAGGACCTGCAGTCCTCTACTGCAGGACATGGAAGCTGGCAGTGGCATGAGTCCAGGTGGACCAGATGGTTGTCTACCTCTGAATGAGTCTTTGTAAAAGTCTAGCTTTTCCATAAAACCAGAAATGGGTTCATTAAAACCAGAAGTTTGGTGCTGGTCCCAAGCAATGAAGCCTAACAGTGGCAGCTTTTGGACAAAACCACAAGGGCTGATAGAATTCTGCTCCTCATACTGTTCTAATCCAACAGCCAAAGCTTATGTGAGATGTCCTGAAACACTGCCCACCCCACCAACAGCTCTTGCCCTGTGCTAGAATGTGGCTTGTCCTCAGGTATCAGGGCCCTGGGATCCCTTACAACCTATCTCTACTTTGTAACTTCCCACCTTTGAGAACATGGGGACCCCCATCACTGCCGAGCTTGCCCCTCACACCTTCCTTCTCTTGGGGGTCCTCTTAGTGATAAAGCCACTTGTTTATTATCACGCAGTGAACACCTATGATTGGACCTCTTGAAAATGGGCAGTTGGGATGAACCTGTTCAGATGAGACTGCTGAACTGAAGGCTGCTCCCATCTCTTCCTCTTCAGCCCATCAGAGGGGCCAGGCTCCTGAGCCACAGAGCAGGCCTGAGGGGATGGGTCGGGCATGGGTCTGGGGTGCTATTAGCAGGAGGACCGGAGTAAGGTAAATCCCCAGCACCAGCGGGGCCCAGAGCGTTCCAAAGGGAGTTTATGAAAACCAAAATGACTTTCCTTTTTTACAAATAGTGTTTGATCTTGTCCAAATGGAGTTGTGAATAGGGATTAGACAGATTTTAAAATAGGAATTTTTATTCACTAGAGGTTTGTTATTTCTGAGTACTTCTTAGAACAAGTCAGAAGCCATAAGAATTAAAAATGCATTCTACCCTGGAAATCCTTATTTCCCTTCTCTGTCTTCATATCCCTGTACTTCTCCCTTTTCTGCCTACACATCCCCGACCCCTAATCCCTCTCTGCAATAGAAGCTACTGTTGAGTCTCTGGTGACTCATCCCAGAAGTTTCTTGGACATATACAAAACCATAGATCTTTTTCTTAAAATAGAGATTACACTTGGACACATGAGTCCTTACTTTTTCTTTTTTTTCCCCTTTTTTGAGATTTATTTATTTATTTGACACAGAGAGAGCATGTACACAAGCAAGGAGAATACAGGTTAACAGGAGAGGGAGAAGCAGTTTCCCTGCTGAACAGGGAGCCTGATGTGGGACTTGATCCCCGGACCCTGGGATCATGACCTGAGCCAAAGGCAGACGCTTAACGACTGAGCCAGGCACTCCTGCTTTTTCATTTCTCACTTCCCCTTGGAGATAAGCTACTATAGAGCCTCCTAATTATTAAGTGGCTGCCCAGGATTCAGGTTCATGGACATATGATGCATACTAATCAGTCCCCAGTGGACCACTTGTTTGGTTCTGGTCAGTGCAGCAGTGAGCAGCCTCATGGATGTGTCTCCATGATCATGTGCTGTGTTCCTTCACAGAAGCTGTTCCTAGATAGAGCAAGGTTGCAGGCCAGCCAGAAGCAACTTGGGTAGAAATGGCCCAAGAGGGAGACGGTGTCACCAGCTCTGTCAGCCATCTGGCTGTTTGGCCGTAGCCAAGCCAGTGGATGGAAAGTGGCATATTGATGGTTTTACTCTCAACATCCTCCATTGGAAGTGAAGCTGGGATGCCTGAGTGGCTCAGTTGATTAGGTGACTGCCTTTGGCTCAGGTCATGATCCCAGGGTCCTGGGATCCAGTCCCACATCGGGCTCTTTGCTCGGCAGGGAGCCTGCTTCTCTCTCCGATTCTGCCTGCAACTCTGCTGGCTTGT